CACAGTTGTCTTGGAAGCATTCGATCCCTGAGTGCTCAAACATGTTGCCATGATTGATTATGATGGAGAACAACTTGGTTGGTTGTCTTACAAGCACGGTCTTTGAACAATAATTAGTGTTACTGTGCCCCCGAACATAGGATGCTAATATGGGGCCTCTCAGGTGATCAGGCAAAGTTATAGGGGGTTTTAGGACAGGCTTGCTATAGGGGGCTGAGAGGGTGCTGACAGCGTGCTATGGGGTGTTTATAGGGGGTTTGTGCAGTGTTTGTAGGGGTTTTTGTCGGGCTTAGGGAGGGGTCAGGAAGGACGGCTTCTATGGGCTTATAGGGGGTTTGGAGGGGCTGTTACATTGGATCACATGGGGCTTTTAGGGGTTTTGGGGGAGTTTTTCGGATGCTCATAAGCTGCTTCTAGCGCTTAGAGGGGCGTTTGGATGGCTTGTACGGTCCTGGTTGATGTCTTCAGCCCCGAGACATGAAGCGAATGTAGGCTGCGGGAGGGAGGTGTCTTTTGGGGGTGCCAAGTCTGTTGGGCGCCCCCCCCATCCCCCGCGCCTGCCGAGGCACGACTGTGCCAATTCCACATCCTCACAGATTGGCTCAGGCGAGGCCCAAGGAAGATTGGAACAAAGCCAGCAGGAAACAACGCAAAGCGGTGGCAGTGCCGAGATTGAAGATGCATGACACCTTCGTCGCGGGACTTGCTTCGGGTGCTACCTGAGGTTCAGCCTGCTGGGCTGGCACTTCTGCCTCCATTGGAGCGGGTTGATTGATTGCAAGGGGATGTCCTAGGGGTTCAGGTGTCGGGACCCTGGGGTTGCGATTTGAGTTGCAGTGCTTGTCTCAAAACAGTGCCTAAACCAAAGATTGCAAGGCCACCAAGTGCCTATGTGATGGAGATTTTGGGGATACTTTAGGTTTCGATGTAGCGTACTGGAAGAATAGCAAGGGGCAGACTTTCATGTTCACGCATGTTATTCGCGAGTCCACCTTGTTCCACATGGCAGCCGGAGTTGGCCGTGCGTCGAAGCGCAATTTGAAGCCTTGGCGGATAGGTGGTTTTCCCTTGCAGGGGATCCTCAAGTGAGTTATGTAGACCCAGCCAGTGAATACACCTCAGAGTAGACTCAGTCGGTGAATACACCTCAGAGTATTGGAGAACACAGCTCCAGAAAGGGAATATCCGCGCCAAGGTGGAGCGCGCGGGAAGCGCGCTGGCAGCTAGGACGCATCGAGTCCCACGGGCGCCTCATCAAAGACATTTTGACAAAGATGGATTCAGAATGTGGCATTGACGACGAGCATGAGTTTCGACTTTGCGTCAAGCCCTCTAGACTAAAAACTCGTTAAGCCGTGTGAAAGGATATACCCCAAGAACAAGCCGTCTTTGGCAAAATGTCGAGACTTCTAGCATCGATAGTGGGAGACGACGATGCTGCTGCGCGTTCCTTGGCCGACAGTGATTGTCCCGAAGGCGTAGCGTTCCGGCGGAGCCTGCAGAGGCGGGAGCAGGCTCGCTGTGCATGTGTCAGGGCTGACAATGACAACTCGTGCACGAGAGCTTTGTTGAGGCGCTCCAGGCCACTCTGCCAAAGCTTCGAAGTCGGAGTACTGGCGCGTCCAAGAGGTATGGCCCTGGTAGGGTGATATGCAATGAGGGCAGAAAGGTAGTTCGGATCAGTCATCGTGGACACTTAATTTGTGCGTCACGGGAGCAGTTAAGATCCGCATCCATCAGGGAATGGCAAGCCGTGCAGTCCCAGGGACAAGACAGTAGCGGGGTAAGCGGGGAAGTTGTCAGGGGTACTCGGCGTGTTTTTGATCTGATTGGTGGTGGGGAGTTGCCAACGCGTAGAGATGTAGACATGGAAGGTGATTCTCCAATTCGTTTGCCTGACTCGCCCGCTAGCTTAGAGATTCCGGAAAATGAGGACAAGCCCAAGGGGCCCTCCCAAGTGGAATTTGACCCGTTCTCCGTACTGTTGAGTGTCCCGGCTCCACTAGGTAGGGTTGGGCGGCCTCCAGCCCACCAGCCCCATTCCAAGGCAGGCAAAGCGAGCATGCTCCAGCGAATAGCGGGGCCATGGCTTTTGACAAAGTCCTTCTCACAAGGAGATCTTGAGCGCGAAATCTTGCGCCAAGTCGACATCATTAGCAGAACTCTACGTTATTCCTAACCAGCAAGTCTCTAGTGCGCTCTTCGGCATTGCCCCCATCGGTCTGCGCCAGGCTTCTGCAACCCGAGTGGTTCTATCGCACTTTCAGGGCGGTGGTGCATGAGCCAGCGCACATCACCCACACCAGTAATTCAGCCCTGCGTGCCAAGTGTGGAGTAATGGATCCAGTGGACACCCCGGCCCAGCGCAAGAAGCTTGCAAAGCTGCAGCACTCCGAACCAGACATCACCAACACCACATTATTGCACACTGGCAGGGGGTGGTCGAGATCCTTGACAGCCTCACAACCTCGCAGCAGCCCTCTCAGACCCTTCTTCCTGCGCCAGACAGCGCAGAGCGCATTCCGTGCGATGTGTGCGAGCTATACTTCACATCCACCAAGACGATGAGACAGCGCCGTGCGCGCAAGCATGGTATCCATGTCCAGGTCGATCCTGACGAGGAGAGAAGTTATCAGCAGCACGAACACAGTGTTGACGGGGTGCCACAATGCAAGCGCTGTGGCAAGACAATGCAGTCCATGGGAGCGCTGAAGCAACACGTGCTTACGTACGCGTGCAGATCGCGGCCCACCGCTGGCGCCGTCGGAGACGCTCACGCGGGGGTCAGCCTCGCCTTTCCCCGGCGGACCGTCCCACGCAGCCCCTCCTGCCTAGCGTGCCTGCCCGTGCCACCGACCCCGGAGGTGCACATCAGGCTAACGACCTTAGAACCGGGGACGAACAGGAACTGCTCTTTTCAGACAACGAAGCAAGCAAGAGATTCTACGTGACTCCCCGGTGCCCCTATACCGACATTGGCCCGCTGGGCGCCACTCCTCACTTCCAACTGTGGGTTCTGTGTCCATTGGATTTGCAAAGCAGGGCTCCGTAAAGGAGCATATCAAACGCGTGCGCAAACTCCAACGGGATGCATGTTTGGACAGGCTGCAGGTGTGCTGTGAACGGTATGCCGACCTCGTCATGCGCGATCACATTGTGAGCTATGTTCCCAGAAGGTCCACTCCCGTGATAGGCGTGTTAGAAATTGCGTGGTGATATCGCAGGTCGCCGCTGCCTCCGCGTGGATCCAAGCTGGAGCCCCTGAGCAACCCCTTTCCATGGAAGTTAGGTGTGAATCGGCAGAGGCTGGCGCGTGTGAGCTCAACGAGCTTCGGTTCCTGGAGACACATTGGTGGCTATGTGCGCGCTGCGCGCCCACTTACTAACCAGCAGGACTGGAGACGCCGCGTGAAGAAGGACCATTCAGAGGCCTGGAAGGCGACTGAAGCGCAGATCTCGTGCAAAGCATCTAGTGTCAAGCTGTCCCGACCGTGCCGATTCTGCAGGATGAACTTCACGAAGACCCCGCAGCTTCACGCCCAAAAGTGCCTCCCTCTTCTCCAACTTGCATTCCTGGCACAGCGTGGCGGAAATCGCGGCCCTCCAGGAGGTCGCGAAGCTGTGGGGCACCTCGTCCCCGATGGCAGTGTCGTCGGAGGAGGATCAGCCATCCAAGTTTCCCAGAAAAGAGGAACAAGTCAGGGACGCACAGGCAAGAGAACATGGGAGCCGAGAACGGCCCCAACCTGGGGTAGAAGATCTTTGTGTCGTGGCTACTTACGAGTCCTCTGTCATGTTTCTCACCACTGGACGGCTCATGCGGCTGCGCTTGCAACATGTGTACGATCATGGACAACTCAGTATTGCGGACTCAGCGGAGCAATCTGAATCTCAGAGGCCCGGCCCTCGAACCAGCAACTCCAGCAGCTGGCGCGCATAGTGGCCAGACAAGAAAACAGCGCTCCAAATGCTAGAAGGGGACAGGAGCTGGATGATTTTTATGGACCCGGGCGAGATGGGCATCATCCCGCAGCTGATGCTGACGACGGCAAGCTGGAAGAAGAGCCGCGCGCAGGGCACGTGCAACTGTGGACTCAGGCAAGCGCTGATGGGCACGCTGCTCATGGAAGCATCCGCCAGGATAATCAAGGCCAAGTTGCTCTCGACCGAGCCCCTCGGAGGCTGCGCTACATGAGATGGAACCAAGACAAGCAAAGCTACGAGGCGACAGATGCGAAGCCGCTGCCGCACGAACATGCCATCAAGGCAACACAGCTGCTGACGGAACACATGGTCAAGGACGGGGTGACCCATGCGTTCCACGGATTGGGGGGCATGTCGACGGACAAGGACAAGGCCACCATGTTCAAGTTCACGCTCTCGCTGGAGGGCCTCCAGCGCCGAGATCAGAGAGGCATCCGCAGCGCTCAGGCTGATAGGGGCAAGACTACGCCCAGGAAGGAGCCATCGCCCCTCCCAAACGAGCTCCTGTTGCTGCAGGAAGACGACCTGTGATTTCCAACAAGGGGGGGGGTGCTGGCCCCTGCCAGCGTTGGGAAGGGTGACTTACATAACATTGACAGGAGACGCGCTTCGGCCCCCATATAATGAGGACAATGGTCCGCAGGACACCGTGGGGACGGCGCGGGCAGCGCAACAAAACACCATCCACCGCTGGCTAAAGCATGAGGGGACCAGTGCATCCACAGCCACGAGCGGCGTAAAAGAGCGCCAGCAACCTGCTAGTGCAAGGGCGGTTCCCCTTCATCCCCCGTCACCCGTCTTCCGTTGTACTTGCTAATCCCAGCAATTTGTGCTACCTCAACTCACTTGTTCAGGCGTTCATGTGGGTGTACTCTGCCGGGACCTCAGCTCGCAATGCTGAATTTGGCGACTTGCATCCGCTCCTCAGGGCACTCCTCGGATCCACTAGGACGGTACAACTGCATAAAGGAAAGCCTGGCTTGGGTTTTGCGTGCCGTGCCTGGCCGAATCTGCGTCAGCAGCATGACGTAGCGGAACTGCTGACCTTCCTCGTTGGCAGGCTCGCTATCCCTGGCCTACGAGGCAGCTGGGAAATGGAGGGGCCCCATATCCACACTCATCAATGCTTCGCTAGTGTTCCCAGATTACCCTTCCCCCCTGCGCAGGAGACCGCAGCCTACAGCAGTTGGGCAGGCTACAGGCCATGTACATGCACTCGTTGAGCCACCGAAGCTGCTTTGCATACAGCTCCTTCGATTCGCCCGTAACCGCGCGGGTGAGACACAGAAGCTTGAGCATAAGGTGTACCTACCCGCCAGGCTGCAAGTTGCACACTTCAGGGGTGGGGTCGACACCTCGCCAGCCGCTCATGACTTCCGCTCATCGGCCTATCACATTGGCCAGACTCCTGACTCAGGTCACTGTCGGACACTTGGAGTAACGGCCCCTATAGGGGAGCCAGATGATGGATTCTCACGCGCGCTGCATGCCCAGCTTATGCAGGGAGCCGCTCATCCGGCCCTGTAATTTCAGAATGATGATACCTCAGCCGTGCGAGCGAAGCTCGCGGATGTGCAGGAGGTGATGAGAACATGGTACATAGCCTTTTACACTAGGTCGCAATAGACGACCGCTGCTCGGGTTAGCAGCAGAGTAGTTGTCTGGCGCGCTGTTATGGCGGTTCTCATGTCCACCGGTTGACATGGGTGCATAGCGCCCGCTGAAGAGTCGACTCGACTAAAGCATGTGAATGAATGAAAACGGACACACCTTCCCGTGGTGTCCCTGACCCGGCATGGGGGGGGTGCACGCTTGAGAGTAGATTGTAAGGGTCTCGCAACAGCGGCGGTGGGGTGCCTGGGGAATAGTGCGCCTCTGTCCGAGACTCCGGCAGGGCTATGAGAGCGTGCATGCCATATGGATGGATGCACCGTGCGTGGGACCTGGAAACGCGGGCCCATTACCGAGGATTCCCCAAGCAATTCGTACCGCTAGAAAGTAAAAAGCATGAGTGAGCGTTGCACCTTGACTTGAATATTGATAAATATTCCTGATGAATATTATAGTCCATAAATTTTGAAAAGGTATCTTCCTTGATTGAGAAACTACCAGACAAGAGATTGAGGAATATTGTGATTGAATACTATTTCCCTGAGTTGAAAATGCTGGTGATTGTTGACAGCAAATAAGACTATTTTCAATCGTGATTGATAAGTCTTTGCTTGCGTCAACAAATCTTGTGAAATATTTTGAACAAAGATTTCACCCAGCATTTTCCTGAGCAGTATTTAATAACAATGAGTTGTTGCAAGACATGGCCTTATGTAGCCATTTGGCTGGGAAAGTGGTGGGAACCCCTTGAAGCATCGCACATGTTTCAGTTTTGCCCACCCACCCACCCTGGATAGTGCGCCTCTGTCCGAGACTCCAGCAGGGCTATGAGAGCGTGCATGCCATATGGATGGATGCACCGTGCGTGGGACCTGGAGATTCCCCAAGCACGTCGTACCGCTAGAAAGTAAAAAACGTGAGTGAGCGTTGCACCTTGACTTGAATATTGACAAATATTCCTGATGGATATTATCGTCCATAAATTTTGAAAAGGTATCTTCCTTGATTGAGAAACTACCAGACAAGAGATTGAGGAATATTGTGATTGAACACTATTTCCCTGAGTTGAAAATGCTGGTGATTGGTGACAGCAAACAATTGATTCTTATTTATTTTTGATCCTCCGTATCGCACAAGTTACAGTATTCGGGCACCGGAAATCATCAATGTTAATTTCTTTCTGATGCTTGTTAGTTTTGTTTTGATCGCCGAATATTTTTTGATCCTGATTTTTTTGGATCCCCCACCCACCCATTTCCCTGTTCCAGGAGCATCGCCGAAAAGTTGAGCTGAACCGATCCCTGTGCTCCTATCCAGAGATCTGATACAGTGTTCCATTCAGTGTAGGTGGACTGAGCTTCTCCCACTTGCATCAGGTATGAGCATCTGATGATGACAACGATGCGTGACGTTTCCGACTCAAACGTGAATGGCAGCAGACAGCCGCTAACTGTAAGACATCGCCGGTCTCGCATCTGGTATAAGCTTTGGCCAGTTTGGTTAGACTGAGGCAGCTCACGAGGCCACCACCGTAGCTTGGTGCGTCGTGCAGTATGCTTTGCCCATCTTCGGCCGTTATTTCTGCCCGTGCAGGCTGAGCGCAAGGGAACTGGGGCTGCAAGATCACAAACTAGTCAGGAGTCTTGGCCTCAGCCTTGTGAGCTTTTCCCCTCAGCAACAAAGGAAAAACTTTATCTGTGGGCAGGCGAAACGATATTGCAAGGTTTCATAATGTCAGTGGGAACTCGTCAGGAAACAGACTAGTTCCCAGGAGTTGCGAGGCGTAGCCTGGACCGTGTTTCATCTTAGGATTCACGGCTTGTGGGTACCGGGAAGCCATAAGGCGAGTTGGAGGTCCTAGGAAGGTCCTAAAGGAAAAAGCTGAGGGGGGTTGTAGGGGCAGTAGGGGCAGGCCAGAGATTTTCTTTCAGGGGGAACGTAGGGAGAGGGGAAGTGAGCAGATCCCGATCCCTTTTTCCAGACGGCTCTCAGCCGAAGGATGATGTGAATTAAGCGCAGACGCCATTTCAGAATCATGTTCGCCAGAGGATGCGAGCCGGCGGCTACTTACAAAGTGCCATGAGGCCATGGTAACGTTGTCTTGCACATGCTTCGATAGCACAGCGCGAGGCACACGCAAGAATCTGAAGATCCTGAAGAGCCAGAGGATCCTGCAGAAGTCCCTGAGGGGGTGAAGTGGGGCCGCACCTTGCTGTGCATGACTTTGAGGATGGGGATGAGGATCAAGAAGCTGAACTGGAAGAAGCGCCTCTTGCACCGCGGGCACAGAAGCCTCCACCAGCAGCACAAGAAAGACAGGCGCCCGCTTCTCGAGGCAAGATGCAGGTGCTGGTCTTGCTGAAACAACTTGAAAAGCACAGAGAACATTCCCCGTGCAGGGAAGAGCCGGCTTTTCGGTCTGCGAGAAGAAAAACCAGTTAAGAGCCAGGCCTTTGCTGCTTTCGGCTTTTTTGCAGCGGTTGAGGCAGTTTGAGCGTGCTCCTGCCACGACGCAAAGGCACCCAAGAAGTCGGAGCACTTCCAGATCGGGGCAGTCCCGGCTTCAACAGTGCGATGCAGTGCCAATGCACTGTTTTCCTTGCAGAAGCTTTCATCAATGCTTGAAGCTGAGTTGCGGCTGCTTCATAGCTCCAAGGACATCCCGCAACCTGTTTGGAAGCAAGTGATTGGCATAACTTCATGTAAGCAAAGCATATGATATCAGATCCAAGTTGTTTGCTTCACGAACCTGGCACGGCACATTTCAACTTACAAATGCTTTGGATGTCACAACTAGCATCACTTCATTCCGTCGGCACTGACAGGTGGTGTTGATACAGAGGTCTTGAAGAGGAAGAATTGTCTACTTGTGCAGGCGTTTATGGATGACATATTCACGGCCGTTGCGGAGCGTGATGTGTTGGAGGAGATGTTGGCTTGCTCGGCTGTGTTGTATAGGGGGTATTTGCAAGTCTATGAGGAGAATGCTCTCCGCATATTGCGAAAGATGGAGTTGCTTTTCTAAAGCAGTGCTCCTTTCCATGTAGGACAAGGTACAAGGTGCCATGAGGTAGGCCAGTGGTGAAAGGGAATGCTGCTATGTAGTGAGGCTCCAGACGCGAACGCTAAAGGCGGGAGGAGAACCCGAAAGGTGTAGCGGCCGGGTGCCCAGATGGGAATCGCTCCAATCCGCTTGGTGGGTACAGCTGAGGTAGACCCCAGCACCATCTGCATCACAAGCTTGAGCCCCACCGTGCGACTCGAAGCAACAGCGAAGGCTGCGAAGGCGAAGGCCAGGCCCAGAATTCAAAGAGTCATCTTAGGGCTTGGGCTTTGGCCTCTACTTTGAGAAGCTCAGGCTTTTGAGCACCTCTCCATTCCCTCTTGATTTCGATTCTTCCACCTTTGCCGTTCTTCCCTAGTGGCGAGCCAGGAAGGCAGGAAGGCGAATGAGACCAAGCTAGCATGCAAAATGGCACCTTCTGAGAGCGCTCTCTAGTTCCTCATTCAGGAGTTAGATTTTAGGCCGGGAGTCTAGGTATGGTACATCTGCTGAACTGCACAAATGAGGGTTGTCCAAAAACCCTTGTCTACAATTTTAGATCAACGAAAACCAAGTATAACATAATTTGTCAAAGCCCCGTGCGCGCAAGCTCCCCGGGCGCAAGGTTGGCGCAAGGGTTCGAAAACGCTCATGGTATTAGTTTTAGTGTGATGAGCCTGCGCGAAAACCACTGTGAGCCAAACTGTGCGCGCGCAAGCTCCGCGCAAGCACGGCGCAAGCCCCGAATTCAAGATGAACGAATATTGGACAACCTCCAAATATGCAAAGCAAGCCACAGGCAGCGCAAGGTTTGCCAGAGAGAGAGCAGAACAGAGATTCTGAGTTTCGGGCATGATGCTGGCAGAGTCTGGAAGTG